ATGATAAGACTACTAAATGTAGAAGACCAAGAAACTGAGAAGACAGAACTCCATTTGGAAATCCTGAGAAAGAGGTAGCACAAACCTTCGATGGTGCTGTCAGACCAATAGAAGCCTAGGAAACCCCAATAAGGAATAAGCAGACATGCAACCAGATGAAAAGATGTATAGAGAAGCACATGACCAACCAGGCTACCAGAATTGCTGAAGGAAAAGAATACTAAAAGGTATACCATATTAGGCTATCTGGATTGGGAGTCTGGAGAGTCTGTCAGATTCAGAGTTGGATAGTATAAGGATGAAAAGAAGAAGTCGGAAAGATAGATACCAGAGTTTGAGTGAACTTTTAAAGGTAAAAACATGTAATGTAGTGGTTTAAAGTTAGCCCTGACTGCAAGTATTAGGTAATTATAGTATGTTATATAAAATCCAGGTTAGCTGTATATGGGACATGAAGGCTCTAGTAGGTTTACCTTGAGAATAAAATAGTCCTAAAGTTAAGATGAGGATCTGGGCTTGACCTAGTAAAGTTGGTACAAGGGTTTTGGATCAAAAGGTTTAAATAAAACATTTAAGCAAAGGTGTTAGGTATGGCAACTAATAGGAAACCTTCGGGTGGACCTCTTAAATAGGTAATATAGAAAAATTACATGTATAGCCAGTTGTATACTTGTCATAATACCTGACAGAAGTATTAATAAAGTCAAAAGACCAAAAAGGTTACCTTAATACCAAAAAAAAAAACTTTTCTACAATCTACTATTAGAGAGAATACAAGAAGATAAAAATTTAGAATATATAGTAGAACAACAAATCAAAAGAGAAATGCAATGCAGCAAATTACAAAGTACCATTAAGCAGCTATTGCATATGCAGATGATACAACATAGATTGTAAATAGTAAAAAACAGCTAATAAAGATATTAAAAATAACAGAAAAATTTTTTAAAATGAACAATATAGAGATAAATAGATCAAAATCAAAGCTCTTGATAATGAATATGAAAATAAAAAAAGAAGAAAGAGAAGTGATCTTTGGAGAAAACAAGATAATAGAAGAAGCAAAGAACAAAATAGGTTGCTTATTAGGAATATAACTAAATAACAGAATAAGTAAATTGCTAGTAAAAAAGAAAGCTAAAGAAATAATTAGTCAAACAATAAGAGATCTTAGATACAAAAAGATGACAATGAGTCAGATTGCATATATAAACAATATAGTAATAAAATTAAAATTAAGTTATATGCTATAGCTAACAAAAATGTCAAAAGAAGTATAAATAAAATACATTAACCAATAATAAGTTTAGCAAAACAAAAGAGCAATCTACAAAGAATATTAAAAAACTGCATAATGGAATACAAAGATCTTGAAAGCTGCAGAACATTACAACAAGAATTAACAACAAAACAAATAAATAGCATATTAGCAAAACTAAACAAATAAGATAGTCTTGGGCAGTTAACAAAACTAAAAATAACACAAAAGTGCCAGAAAACAGATTTAATAAAAAATATATAGAAAATAGAGAAGTTGCTAGAAAATATAGAAGGTTAAAAAAGTATACTAGTTAGGTATATATAGAAGGTAAGTTGAGAATTCCAATATAACAGAGCAGATAATCAAAAGATTTAAATGAATAATCTCTGAGTAGGTTATAAGTACAACATCTAGTATAGAACCTTAGGATAGACTACTTAAATAAGCAACCAAAAGTTGCATATATGACTAGCTATACTCTCATCTCTATAAAAATAATTGTAATAACTAACCTAATGTAAGTCAATAAAGTATTGCCACAAGTATGGCCTTTAATAAAAAAAAAATTTGTATTATTTCTTTATTTAGAAATTTCTAAATAAACTTTTATTTTCTTAATTTTATAATCTTCTATATCTAGTAATCTTATTATAAATTTGTATCAAAATCTTATATAATACTAGAGGGTATGGTGACCTAGTGAAGTGATCAGATTGTTAACCCCCAAGTGAAAGGTCTAGAGTTCAAATCTCAGTATCAACAAAAAATTTGAAAAATCCTTTCTGTATTATAGTTAACTGTCTTTTACAATTGGTTGAAATAAGACACCTGTTATCTATATTGCACTAGCATAACTGGTAGGTCACATGGCATTTGTGTAATAGTCATATGATATTGTTTATTGGAACAAGATTTGTAGTTATACAAAGAAATGCAAACTGGTACTAGGTAATGCAAACTTATAATAAGTCCTCATAGCCATGTAATTATAGAAAACAAAAAAAAAAGTTAGAAACTTACTTGGAAGACCTGAGTAAAGAGGTAACTTGAACTTTTGATAATGCTATTGTAAAGACTAAACTTATGAAACAGAGCTAGTACTTGTGAAACTAAGCAAATATGTTAGTCTTTAAGAAGGAACCAGATGAACCAATCAGGCTACTGAAATTTCTAGGTTCTGAAGGAAAAATATACATGCTGACAAACATATAAACCAAAGATATATGATTTTGAGCTATCTTTTTAAGCTATCTGAAATAGCAGCTTGGTAGAACTTAAATTGAATATTAAACTAATAAGGATATGTTATAAAGTAAGTACTAGAATTGGAATAAACTCTATAAGATATAGCAGTTTAATAGTATGTCCTGATCATTAATGTTGGTCTCAGCTATAGTAATATTAGATTAGTTATAAGAATGAAATACAGAAGATTCTAAAAGATTTAGTACAAGATCAAAGGTTCTAAAGAACTGCTTTAAAGACTTTATAACTATAGCATATTTTTACTAACATTGGTCAAGATCATTGGTAAATAGAAGTAAGCAGATAGATACAAAAACTAAAGTAGTTAAATAGAGAACCTACAAGCAAGTTTCAGGTATGATAGCTAGTGTAGAACCTTCAGATAGACTACTTAAATTAGACAATAACTAAAGTTGTATAAGTAGCTAGTTGTACACTCTTTTTATGATTACCTTCTGTAGTTGTAATACAACTATTAACCAAATATACTATTAATAAAATTCTAAGTTACAAGTACTTATCTTAATATTTAAAAAAAAATAAAAAAAAAATTTTATACAATACTAATTTATATATATATATAATATTATATTTAGAGATGTAGCAACTTAGTGAAGTGGTCAAGTTGTTAACTTCCTAAGTAGTAGGTTGGGTATTCAAATCCTATCAACAGTAAAAATTTGGATAATTACTTATATAATATTTATATTATAATAACTGTTACTAATGATTAGGTTAGAATACCTGTAATGATGATCACACCAGCATGACTGGCAGGTCATAAGACATCTGTGTAATATTAGAGTTATACAAAAGAATGCAAACTGACAAATCAGGTAGTGCAAATACTAGATAAGTTCTTGTGACTATATAAATTCATTAAAATTGGATAACAAGAAGTTTATTTGAGAAGATTTGAATAGAGAGGTAGCTAAATCTTCGATGGCACTACTGTAAAGGCTAATCTGAGAAAACAAATATTAAGGTCTTAGTAACTAGATGAGCAAGTATCTCTGGATTTGAAGTTTTGAAAGTATCACCAACCAGACTGCTAAAATGAATTAGAAGAAAAAGATATTGGACTGATCTAATATATTAATTGACTGATCATAATCTTATACAGGTCATCTGGATTAGGAATCTGACAAAATTTAAGAGTATACTAAAGTACTAAGATTATGCTATAAAGTAGATGTTGGGATCTAAGTAAACTCTACAAGAATATAGTAGTTTAATGATTAAACTCTAATTGCAAGTGTTAGTTCTGCCATAGTGATATCTAAGTTAACTGTACAGAAGGCTCTAGGAGGTTTACCTTAAAGATAAATTAATCATAAGGTTGAGATGATTATCTGAATATGATCCAATGAGTTAACACAGATTACAGATTTAGAAGGTTTAAAGTAAAACACCCAAGCAGGAATATTAGATATAGCAATTGGTAGAAAACCTTTAAGTGAACTTCTTATATAGGTAATATAGAAAAGTTATATATGTAGCCAATTGTATGCTCTTCTGTAGTGGTTCATTGAACCACAATACTGATAAATGATTAATAAAAGTCAAAAGACCAAAGAGGTCACCTTAAAAAAAAAAAAAAAAAAAAACCAATTGTTATAACACAAATTAATTTTTCAAATTTTTATTATTTATAAGATTTGAATACTAAGTCTACCACTTGAAGTTGACAACTTGTCTACTATTTGAAATTATTACATACAAATTATTTTCTTTGTTTTAAAATTTTTTACTATTATATATATGATTTTTTGAATTTTTGTTTTTAGTAAAAACTTTTTTAGTTTATTGTTAAGCCAAATTTAAAAAAACTTGTTATGTGTTTTGGTCTTATTCTTTTTCTATATTTACTTATTAGCTTATTTTATTGGTTTTTTTTTTATTTCTTCTTTTGTATTAATGATTACTAACTTAAATTTCTTTTGATTTATTAAATATTATTAAGTTTAAAGAATTCTTTTGTTATTTGGATCGTTTGTTTTATTTGTTTTTTTTTTAGTTATTCATATTGTATTATTAGCAAAAGTTACTCGGTTGAACCTACTCTAGTAGTTCTAGTCATTACCCGATTAAACGTGAGTAACCTGAGTAATACTCAATTCAGGTATAATCTCTAATATACATTCTCCTTTAAAGAACCTTTATATACGTTCTAATTTCTCATGATGTTAACATCAAAATCATAACGTTTACACCAAAATTTGATGGTGCAACTTTGGTTTACGCGAAGATTGTACGTAGCGTATACGTGGTTGCAATGCGCTAAGCCATCATTTACCGATACTACAGTGATCGGAAAAACAATATGCAACAAAATTTCACGAGTCAAATGACTTGCATGACCTTGGACCGACGGTTCGATTGGTTCTGCTCCGCATTAAGGAATCCCCAAATTAGGAAGATTCAAGCGTAAATAAAAGACGCGACTTCTTCGAGTTTTCTTTGTGTTATTTATTGTTACAAACGTTGTAGTAGTATGGAGCAGGCTCAAAAAAGAAATAAGTCTTTATTTCATACTATTGTATCGGAGGCAGGGTTAAAGTTGGAAGGTCATGTTGAGGGTGTACACGAATTAGGTAAGTATCAGTCACCGTTCAAACACATCATACTGCAGGCACATAAGCGGTGTTTTTTTTTATTCTGTAACTAAAAATCTTATTTTTATCATTTAAACAGTGGTTGAACCATCTATATTTCGATTCAATCTTATTCAAAAAATTAAGAGTCATCCACAATATCCTGATAAAGCAATCGATACGTTTCTTAATGCATTGCAAGAGTATTTGGCCTTAGACGATGAAAAGTTTAAAGCATGCCTGCAACCACTCTCTGTGAATGGAAAATCAATATAGTAAATTAAAATACCAACGTTTTATACTTAATATTATTACAATAACGATAATATAGATCAAAATAATCATTTCTTTTAACATTTCACATAGTGATTCTACATTCGATAGTTTGATTCGTATTTTATTGAGCATCGATTTTTTTCAAACAACCCTAATTGATCAGTTGTTAGAAAGATTACCAACGTTCATTTCAGAATCTGATCATGATATTATTGAATCGCCTATCCCACAATTAATTTTAAAGCAATTGAAATGGTTAGATAATATCGTAAATCCACCGCAATTAACAGAAAAAATATTAGAGGCATGTATTATTTGAAAGTTATCAATCTTCAAAAATTCAGAATGCACTTTTATCATAACAGTGTTTTGAAAGTTTTTTTCTTTGTTTTTGCATAAAGATGATCCCAATCACACCATTAGGCATTCAAAAGGAAATTATAACAAGTCTCCCTGACATTATAATTGATTCTGAACAAAAGGTTCATGAACAAAATGATTTTTTCATTAAGCATGCATGATATTTGTATATAATTTGTTTGATTTTCTAGTCAAAATTTTTACGCTTTAGGCAGTCATTAAGGAATTAATAAAGTTGATTGATAATGACTACCGACTAATCGTTCCCATACTTGATGCACTACCTCATTTCACTCTTCAAGAAGATCTGATGTGTAATGTTCAAAAAACAGTTTTCGATCGGCTTGAATCCGCAGATTTGGATGATTTGGCCGTTGTCGTAAAGTTCTTATTGCAAACGTCCATTCCGGATGATGCATACAATGTAATTTTCGTGTACGATGTTTTTATAATGATAATTGTCCTCAGTTCTCTCAATATAAAATTATTTTGTAGGTAGTACAGCAGATCAGAGAAAAAGTTGATTTCCATTCAATAGGCAAGCTACAAGGTGAAGCATTGAATTCAAAGAAGCATCAAAAGAAGAAAAAAGAACAAATTCCTGAAGCTTTGATACTAGACTCGATTAAATTGGGTATCGATATCCACAAGTTTGTTAAAGATGCATGGTTAAAAGCAATCAATGATGTTAATACAACGGTACCGTTTTATAGTTGTCAATTTGATAGTTTGAATATTTTCTTGGTATCTAACATTTATTTGTATGCTAACAGAACAATCATAAAATAATTGATATATTGATTTTATTGATTTTACACTCTATTCCAAGCACAAAGAAAAAAGTTGAAACAATCTTTCATAAAAAGATTGTGAGTGGGTTGTTTACACCAGATCTTTTAGAAAAGACAATCAAACATCACTTTGAAGGTTTACGAGACTACTTTAGTGATATCCTTTTATTGTCAGAGTGTCTTCTTCGGTCAAGTCAGCAACAAACTACAGTGTCACGTGCGGCATGTACTTTGTATCACAGTGCGTTTATGGTATTCGAGCCATACCAACAGCAAGAAATTGTAGCATCATTGGTAACTCATATTGGATGTGGCTCGCCTATTGAAATTGAATCAGCACTTTCAGTGCTATCACATTTAGTTAGAACGGATATAAAAAAAATGAGTCGTTTTGCAATTTTTGTAAAAGGACTTTTAGATTACTTGGATAACCTTAATATAGATCAGATTCGACTCTTGTTCGATGTGATTAGCAAATTAGTTTACGAGGTGAGGTCTCATGAATATCGACCATTTTTAATGGATATCAATATCAAAATTCATTAATCTGATTTATTCAATGGTTTGAAAATCTAAGGATTCAAACTATGATGGTTCAAATGGCGGTTTACTTGCTGAATTCTCAATTGTCATTCAGAAACAGTTGTCTAATCCTAACGAGAAGTATAAACAGATAGGTGTTATAGGTGCGCTTGCTTTAGTGCAAACATTGGGTTCTACTCAGAATGCAGAAAATCCTAATCACGAAAGTATGTTTCATAATATTGGTTATACATTTTGTATAATTAGTCCTATGCTATATGATTGTTTTCTATTTATAGAAATGATAAATACCGCTATAGAAAGCTTCTCGAAGATTGAACGTTATTGTGCGCGCTCAATGGTAAATTTGTTTATGAATAAATATTGTATTATTCTATTTAATTGATCATAAATTATTTTTTAAAACTCATAGACATGTCTTGCATTTGCGTATGATGAGCTTGCGTGGTTCATATCTAACGGAATTCTGGAGCGTAGTTTGGTTGATTGGATTTATGACAAGGTGGAGAACATGTTTTCAGATACTTATATAATAGACAATGATGACTTGGCAAAATTAAAAGAGGATCATTACTATTTGAAAGGAATGCCAATAGAAATTTGGTTTGAGGCCGAATGTGATGTAAGAATGAATTTAATTGTTTGAATTACATGCAAAGTTATTTATATAATAGCCTTATTAAAATACTTATTTTGTATTAGACTGATGATTTACCAAAATTTAACGTTTACCCTATGTTGTGCGAGCCTCATGTTTCGCAGGAATTACGCATGCAACATCTGTTCAAGCGAGATCATGTAATATGTTGCTGCTCGATGTTGAGATTAGTACAAGCTTGTCTAAAAGTAAAAGAGGGAAGCATGACAGAAATCGGTGCTTTGTTAAGCACTGGATTGCTCATGTACGAAAAAGTTGACATTGATGTATGAAGTCGATTATTATATGCTATATATCTCAAATTACCTCTTTTTTTTTTTCCTTTTTATGTCAATATATATTAATGATTTCCTTGTTAATAGCGTATGAAGTCAGACGATTATTCTAAATTAATGCGTGAGACAGCATGCGATGCATTATTTTATTCTATAAATTGGTGAATAATTTATGAAAAGATATCTGTTTGAATGTTTAATTAGTAGTACATTTTTAACTGTTTTATTATGAATTCCAGGTGTCGGGAACTCGTTAATGACTTCTGGGGCACCGATGTAGACAATCATAGTAAGTATAAAGCTGTCAATTATTACCAAAAGTATTCTAATTTAGTCCAATAATGTGATATTTTGTCAGGGAACGTCGTGGCGAAATTACGACATGTTATCGAGCTTGAAAAGCTATTAAACGATTTATTGGAAATAACGCCCTCTTTTCAACCTTTTGGATTCGTAACTCATACCCCAACTAAAAACGCGAAATCAAATGCTGTATCTGTCGTAGTTGGATCAATGCCAAGAAATTTTATCAAAACTGGATCAACAGTTCGACGTTCTGGCATTAGTAAAAGCAAGATTATAAGTGCACGTAGGCCTGATGTAGAAAAAGATGAGGAGCAAGGCAAGGGCACTAGTGATTCTAGTAATTGTACACCTAAGTTTGCTTCAGTTTCCGACTTACGGCCACTGATGCGTGAGCTGGCTTTACCAGTGTTTGGCATGCTTAAATTTGGAAATTTCAAAAAATCTAAGAATGATAACGATAAAGAGTCTACTAAAATGGTAGATGATGCGGATGAAGGTCAATTACGTCCTGCAGAGGTAGTTTATCTTCTTGAAGATCTTAAGCATAAAGTTGATTTCAAACTTTCACCACCAGCATCGAACGTTCCTTTTTTTGCAAAGAAAACGAAAAAAACAGAATCTGGAAACCATTCTGATGAGTTTGCCTTGATAGCCCGTCAGACTTCTTTAGACGTTGTTAAGCAAGTGTCTCTTAACTTTGTTCCGCATTTATTGCGGCATTTGGACTCAATATGTGAAGAATTAAACTCTACAGATGATTATTTAATCGATGATGATGTAGAAGATGCATTACAACGTTGCCTACAATTAATACTTGAGATTATTCATAGATTACTTTGTTGGACCGAATTGAAAAGCATAGATAATAAAGAAACGTTGGTTACTGTGTTAAAACAGCTATGTCCAAAGGCCTTGTCTTCAGCACCTAAGCTTACATTGGTACATTTTGAACTTCTTCAACAATCTGCCAATGAAGCATTTCAATACTTACACGGCTTTGTATCAAGACTTTCAACTGCCAACTTGGCAATATTGTTGCACAAAATCCTTAAAATAATATCTGAATTCGCTCCGAATTCGAGTGAACTCTTTGCAAAATCTGGAGATGTAGCACGAAATTTTGTATCACGTACATGGGATGATATTAACAAATTGGATTCTGAATCCATTATATATCTATTGCGAAATGATATCAGACATTCGTCAAACTCAATAGATAGAATAAAATTTTATGCAATTGATGTCCTTCCTTCCTTAGATTCACGGGATGATAACATTACAGAGTCATATCCATTACTTAATAGAAATACGTTCCCGCATTTTTACAAAGCACTGTTTATAGAGCTTGTTGAAGTACTTCAAGAATTCAGATCAGAGAATTTTAACACTACAGATGAGACTTTGGCACACATTTCCAATACGGTTGAATGTTTACAGAAGTTGGTTTCATTTATAAGGATCAATCATAAGCGTAACGTTTTATCAGTAACATTAAAATATGGGCGTAGTTTTATTGATACTTTTATTAAGCAAATGTTGCCGTTGATGGATAAACATTTCAATTCATATCGTGATGAGGTTTTAAACATTTTTAAGATATTCCAAATGTCCACACGGAATCTCCAAGTAAGTTCCTTATCGTTATTAGAATCCTCAAACTTTTGTAATTGATTCGTCATTCACCTTACTCTTTCTAAATATTCATATCTAGGCACTTTGCAATCATGTAAAGGTTAACAAAGAATCTCAGTTGTCAGCGATGGTACCACTTGTAAAAAAGTCATTAGAGATTGTAATTTTCCAAGTTAAAGCTTTAATTCAGCATAACGGGCTGCCATTGTCAACATTCTTTTTAGGAGAACTTAAACATCGCGACATTGATGGACGTGAAGTCGATTCTGATGACCAAAGGGATGATAGATCGCAAAGAGATGATATAAATTCCGTGTTAGATGAAGATGAAGATGATGACGGTGATGATAAAGATGTAGAGAATATGGAAGACGACGAAGAGGATAATGATGAGGATGGTGACAATGATGACAATGAAAGTTCTACCAATGTTTCAGGTATGTTGGCATCATGTATAAAATTGGCTGTAAGAAGCAAATTTCCATAGCTTTATCGTCGTTATCTTTTGAATCAAGATGTAGAAGAAGCCTGTTCTTCTAAACGCAAGCGATCTACTCATGATGATGGACGTCCTTATACCAAACAAAAACGGACCTAAGGATCGACCTCCGGGCTTTTTTCTTTTTAGATTTCGCGCATTTCTGTTCGACTAATAAAATTTTATAAAAAAATTAATTTTATTATTGATTTTAAGAAATCGAAATCAAAACAAAAAAATGTTAAGCCACCCAAATTTAATATATTGGTTTTTTATAGCATGAAACTTTTAAATAAATCGGTCGGCCAACTTCTTTTAAGTTGGTTGTTCTAATTTCCCCCCGACTAACGCGACCACTTTTATTGTAACTCAAAACGGCCCTATTCTAGCCTTAACCCTAACCTTAATCCTATTTTCTAATTTTAATTTTAAAAACTTAAGGGTAGGGATGACGTAGATCATTTTTACTAGTAATTTTATAGCAAATCATATGATATCATATGATTTACATATAAAATTTTGGTTACGTT